TCTAGGGGAAGAGTCTGTAAGCAAAGTTACCTTTAGTTAATCATTTTACAATATGCAAAGTTTAATGCATTATGGAAAATTATCAGACTATATCCACACCTTAAGAGTAAAAATAAATTTGTTTATTTGGGCCAACTATATGGTCTTGAACACCTAAAAGGAAAGTATAACCAAAGATTAAAGAGATCAGTATATTTCCTTAAGAGTTCAGGGGATTAGACTCCTCAGACATTAGGCTTAAGTCCATATAAAATGTTATTTAGGCAATTATTTCTCATTGATGATTTGTTTCTAAGCAGAAAGTGCTGCTCGGATGTAAGACTTCAAATCTTGGTCTGCAATACTGTGGTGCCCACCTGTAGCTAAGTGAGACAACCAGCCATTGTTCTAACATGATGGATAAATTTGTTTTCTCCCCCTATCTAGAAGCCTTTGAGAGGGAACTGACACTGATTCTAACCACTCCAACAGCTATCAAAATACCTGAAAGCAAATCCTGAATCCATCACTCTAGAGTCCAGCCTTGGCAGACAAAAGAAAAATGAGGAGGAACCCAATAGAGGCATGCTTTTGGAAGCTCTCGTCAAGAAATTCCCAAGGACTCTGATATGAACATTTGAAATTTGCTCTGTTCTGACTTTTTTCTAGTTCTCTGTCTAGAACTTATAATGCTAATTACTCTTGCCTTTACTTCTCCTTCACATCCCCTATTCACCAGTCAAGGACTTTCTTTTCTCCCTACAGTTAAGCATTATGCAATTTGGGAGTCTTTTAGATAGACCCACTGAAGGGGTACTCCAGTTGCCTCATCCTGTGTCTCTGTTCAGCATGACGAAGCCAGAGTGGTCAGCATCCCTATTCCCTATTAGCAATTTGGGTAACCCCTTCAGAGGACGGTGTGATAAGAATAGGAGGTGGGAATTAGCTAGGCAGTGAGGGTAAAAAGACCCCAAAGAAAAGTAGCCAGTTCCTTGACTAAAAGTCAAAATGTCCTTGGGCCTTTTAGCAACATATGCTGTTCCAAAGGCCAAAAATGTCAAAAGTATTTGGGAGCTTTTATCTAATCCCTAAAAGATTTTAGGGTTTTGTCTTCAGAGGGGATTAGAGTAGCCAAAATCCCCATAAAGGAAGGAAGGAAGGAAGGAAGGAAGGAAGGAAGTTAAAGAAAGAAGAAAGAAAGAGTACATGAAGATGTAAGAAAAAAATTGATGGGATAGGTGTGGGAGGAGTTGGAGGGGAGGGTGTGGGCATGGATTTGATCAAAACACCTTATATGCATGTATGAAATTCTCAATAAAGTTTTTTAAAGTTAAAAAAATCCCAAAATGTACCTTAAATTCATTGGAATGGATGTGAATATATTTATCATTTATAGGACACTAAGTTGTTGTTCAAAAATTACATTATCATAGGCTTCCAAAGAACTATTGGGCAATAAAGTAACAAACAATGAAAGCATGAAGAAATAAAAGCTGCAGAGTTAAATCTAGAAATTATTCACGGTCTCTATGATAAATATCACAAATTCATTGACAGAAGGGCTAGAGAGACGGCTCAGTGGTATAGATGGCTTGCTGGTCCTGCAGAAGACCCAAGTTCAGTTCCCAGCACCCACATGTAGTGACTCACAACTGCCTATAACTTTAGCTCTATGGGGATCTGGTGCTTTTGGCCTACGTGGCCACCAGCACTCATGTGCACACATACCCCAAACACATATTAAAATACACTAAAGCCGGGTGTGGTGGTGCACGCCTTTAATCCCAGCATTCGAGAGGCAGAGGCAGGCGGATCTCTGTACAGGGAGACCCTGTCTCAAAAAGACCAAAAAAAGAAAAAAGAAAAAAAAAAGAAACACTAAAAGCAGCTGGAGAGACGGCTCAGGGGTTAAGAACACTGGCTGCTCTTCCCGAGGACCTGGGTTAGGTTCCCAAAACCCATGTGGTCGCTAGCAACTGTCCATAACTCCAGTCCCAGGGTTTCAACACCCTCTTTTGACCTCTGTTGACATGACATGCATGGATACACTTATATGCAGGCAAAACACTCATATACATAAAATAAAAATAAGCAATAAAATATTTTAAAAATTCATTGATAGAAATTAAAGTAGATCGAAGCAAATAAAAAAAAGACCATGTTTGTTGAGAATTTTGTGATGAAGACATTAATTCTGGCCAAAATGGAGTGCATTAAATCTATAGATTTATATTATCAAATATTTGACGATTTATAGATTTAAATAACAAAAGTGATTTTATCAAGGAAGGACAGAGTTGGAGGTGTCAGGGTTAAGGACTGAGTCAGTTGCAGCTATGAAGGTGGCGTGCAGTTAAAGCAGGTATAGACACATAGATAATGAAGCATCAAATACACATGCATATTTTTCACTGACTCCTGACAAAGGCACTAAAATGATCTATTGGAAAATCATAGTGTTTTTTCATAAATCATTCTGAAACAATGGAACATTGATGTTCAGAAAACCAAATACACAAAAGAATAACAAATTCATCCCATACTGTAGATGGTGAAAGGATGCAAAACGGACCTTAATAACTATAAAGTCTAAGCCTATAAGATGGTCCTATAAAATGTTATAGAAAAAGAGGACATCTCTGTGGATATTTTGGATAAGACATTAAAATGATTTAAAGTTTGATAAGATGAACTTTAATAAAATAAAAATTTGGCTTTTGCAAAGCATTTCTGAGCATATGAAAAGGCAGATCACAGATGATAGGAAATCTAATTGCAAACAGCATATTAGATTCCACCTCGAACATAAGAACTCTTGTAACTAAATAATAAGACAAGATGAGCAAGCACCTCACCAAAGAAAGATATTGATGCCAAATATGAACATCAATAGGTTATCAAAATCAGTTATTAGAGTCATGCTAAATAACAACAAAATAATGTGTTCATACCCAACTTGAATGGTTAATGTACTTATTTACTTAAGTAGAAATCCTTATATACTATCAATGAGACTCCATAATGTTATGGATAACTTGGGAAACTTTTATCATAATGTATAATAGTTGATCTCTTAAGAAGTTATTCAAGAGAGATGAAGGAAAGTGTACACACCCCCGAATAGCTTTTCTCATCCTCATGGTCCCTCACCAGGGCTAACTCAAAATGGTCACAAAGCTTGTCTGTGCATAATCAAAGTTAAGCATATTTAATGTGGGCTATTACACAGAAGTGGAGGCGATTGAGTTATCGACAAGTGGGAAACACGATTCTATTCATTCGTCATCCTGGAAGAAGCAAACCTCTACACAGATATCAGATCAGTGATCACAGGTGTTAGAGCTGGGGAGAGCGTACTAGCTTCAGGGAGGTATTGGGAACATTCTGGAGTGATGGACATATTCTGCACCTTGGTGGAAGTTGTAGTTAACAACTACATGTGTTTACTAATAGTCATGGGACTGATATTCTAAAAAGGCGATTTTTCTGTTATACTTCAATAAAGATTAAAAATACTATTGCAATAATTTAAATGAAGTCTTATGGCTTGACCTGGGAAGGTTATGGGTGATAAATGGTGAATAATTCTAAGATCATTTGGAAATAAAAAATCAACTCGACCAGATGAAAGGACCAACACTAGGGGGAAGACAAAGGAAAATGGATCTCTGTCTTGTAAAAATGCAGCACAGAGCACCTGGAATTTGAACCACATTGTTTTATACCCAGCTGTCTTAATGGAATACAAATTTTAGGAGATCAGAAGACATACCTGATCCAGGCGATCAGAACCATACCTGGCAAACAGTGTGGGTGGTCAATTTCATAAGAAAACCTTGATTTTTTTTTTTTTTTGCCATATCAAGTTACATCATGCACATAGAACATGCACGAAATCCAGGAATCCTGCAAAGCTCTGGGACACTGGGGGAAACTCCTGAGTGTGAAATGACAGTGTTCTCTCACAGCATGGTGGTGTTGCTTAAGCTTTCTAACGTGTTTGCACTTAATCCCTGTGGTCTAGGATTACAGGGTGACCCTCACAGGAATAAGTGTCATATCAGAGTTCATCCACAACTGCACTTCAAGCACACTTAGCTCTGGGAACACAAAGTCCTTAAGGGGTTTCAGGTCCAGTGTGAGGAGACAGGAGTATCATAGATAATGAAAGAGATGCAAATTCGATTTTCCTTAGGGCTGGAGTACTTGCTGCACATTCAGGAGCACTGGAATTCAGATCTCAGTGTCCATGTGATGAGCCCATTGGCCCTGGAAACCCTGTAGCCACAGCTCCTGGGGTGGAGACAGGAGGATCACTGGCCTTACTGACTGAAGTCTACTGGAGATAAAGGCCCAGGTTCAGGGAGAGACCCTGCCTCAGGTGGGGGGCAACCAATGTCCTCTTCTGGCCTCTTGTATGCACACTGATGACTGTACCCTCCCCCCATACTCACACATGCACAGACACAGAGATAATGCTAACTTTGAACCTGTTATGTGCACATTTTGCTGGTGACTATATCCCTCACCTCATGATCTACATGTGTTCAGAGTATAAATTGTAGCATCAGGTATAATCAGACCCACTCACAAACTTGAATTTCGATATATACCTACAGAAAATTATCAGGAGATGCGTTTTTCAGCCTTACTGGGTTATTTCTGTGTTGATGCTTGCTCAACTTCTAAAATCTAAGCTCAAAGAGTAGCAGAGGACTGCAAGGCTGTCCATCCCTCTCCACACAGCCATAGTTACTTGCTTGTTTGATTAGAAACCAATAAATCGAAGCCTTAAACTTGCATAAAGCATTCCTACATCTCTGTGCGCCTGTGTCTGAATTCACAGAATAAAGCCATAAAGTTTTCTGTATGGGGTGCATGCCTTAAAACAACGCAAGATCTCTGGCCACCCCGCCGGGAAATAACTATCGTTTGGGGAAAATGTTGCCTCAGTTTCTGGGAACTCGCGCTGACCTTGGCCTCGGGGTCCCTGAGGTGCATCTGAAGCGGTGAGCTCTTACCTGGCTTGAGATGGGCGAATGGAATTTCTCCCGTGAGAAGTTCCCACAGACACAGGGCGTAACTGAAGACGTCGGCTTTGATGGTGTAGCGCGTGCACTGCGTGAACACCTCGGGGGCCATCCAGCGGAGGTTCTGCAGGAAAGAGAGGACCCCCACAGTCACCCAGGGCTCAGCCCACCCTGCAGGGCGGGGTCCTGAGCAGCACGGGGCAAGGTTCTAGGTCCTGATGACTGTGACTCTGCCCACGAGTGCAATAAACATTGTGTGTCTTCTGTGATCCCTCTGTTTCTCAAGAACTCTTTAAAAGCCACCGAGAGATCATAAAATTCACAATCGTCCCCAAATACCACCAGTAATCACGACCAATCAGCCGCCTCATGCAGTCCTATCACGATGGCAACCTGCTTCACAATCTTGCCCCTAGACATCTGGGAAGCCTTGGAACAGCCAGCTAGAGCTTTGGAATAGACAGCCATGCATTTACCCATGAGCACTGTGGTGGCCCTGGGCTGAGACACACTGGGGGAGCCTTCCTGTGTTTCCGTCTCCAGGTTCTAATTTAGTAAGTGGTTAAATTTAGGCCCCTATGTTGTCAGGGAGACGCACCCCCACACTCCTGTGTTCTCATGAGGAAGCACCCCACATTCCTGTGTTCTAGGGATTAGCACCTACAGCTTGAGTTCTTTTAGGGAAGTGTCCCCATGCCCCTGGGAAGTTGATTCTCCAGGCAGGATTGAAACGCTCCTTTTTCCTGTGTTTGCCCAGAGGTGCTCTCTCTGAATTCAGTTTCCAATCTAGAAAGGCAGGCAAAAGGCAGGCAAAAGGCAGGCAGGCAGGCAGGCAAGCAAACAAACAAACAAAACAAACAAAACAAAAAAAAAACCAAAAAAAACTTTCCAACTCCCCAGCCCCATCTCTTTGAGGGCATTAGCTATGGTCTTTTTATTTGTAATTTCATGTATTTCTGTTTAAAGAAGTTTAAAGAAGTTGTATTTTTTATCAAATACATAAATTTGGCTCATTCATAGTTTAGGGTCCAGAATGTTAGATTCTGACCCATGAGAAGGTAGTTTGGGTTCATACCACTGGCTGCTCCCCGGTAAGTCCATCATCCCTGGACCTTGGATTCCTAGAGAACCAAGCAGGGACTCTAGCTCTAAAGTCTCCAGACTCTACATCCTGTCAGACAACTGGCCCTAGCAATACTCCTTTAGTATTCTTACTGAATCCCCGTGTGTGGTGTTGGTACTGCTAATTCTTCTGAAAGTTCTGCCTTACTTTGAAATCATGTAGAATTAGCTCTCCAAAAGATATGACTTTATTCTGGGTATTTTGCCCACATATTGTTCCCCTACCTGTGTTTCCACAGTCCAAAAAGCCTCCATTTGTAGAGACTGTGCATATGTCAGTGAACACCTGGGAGAAGTCAGGTACAACAGGGTTTGGATGGGGGTGGGGGAAGGGGGCACAAATAATTAGGGAACTTAAATAAGGCCACACAAGTAGGAAGACATAAAATAGGCTCTAGAGTAAATACAGAGGGGTGCTGTGCTTAAAGGTTATGCTGTGAGGGCAAAATAATTAATACTACCTGCTGTCAGTGACTAGGTTGAATTCTGCTCAGAACGTGCTTTTACTCAGAGAGCAACTGGCCGTTTGAGGATCTCTTGGCCAAACACTGGAGCAATATAGCTGTCCAAGATCAAGCCGAGGCCCATGCAATTGCAGTTTTTAGGGGTTGGATTCAAGCAATACTTTTTTTTTTTCTTTTAAAGTGTCTAAGGTGACTTTAATTAGCGCGGGTAGGACTAGGATCCTTTGATAAAGCTTCCTGTGGACCCCAGGTCCTAGATGAGGTTTGTACGTCCCTCAAAAGGAGGACGCAGCCCCCCCTCCTTGACTTCATACCCCACGTTCCTTCTTCTTCATCCTCTTCCCTAGCTTTGGGCATACCAAGAGCTCTGCTGGGTCAGAGCCACTGAGCCCACTGTTCTCCCCCCTCCCATGCTCTCTGCTCATGAGGATGACCTTTGGCCAGGCCTGAAAAGCTTACATTTCACTCTCTCCCTGTCTCAATATACGCCGCCCCCCCTCCGCCGGCTCATTCAGCACGTTTTCCTAATAACACACTCATTAGCACTGTTTGTCCACTGTCTTTCTTTCCAGTGGAATATTAGCTCTATAGGAACAAGAATTCCCCCCTCCCTCTCTCTCTCTGCATCCCTGTGTGGGTAGATGCATGTGCGAGCCAGATGTTGATGTCAGTGTGTCTCATTCAGTTGTATCTGTACCTTATTTCTTGAAACAAGGTCTCTCACTGAATCTGTAACTCAGCACTTTGCCTAAGCTGGCTGGCCAGTGAACCTCCAGGAGCCTCCTGCCTCTGCCTCTGCCTCCCCAGCTCTGGGGTCACAGATGCATGTCTAGGTTTTTACACGGGTGCTGGGATCTGAGCTCGGGTCCTCAAACTTGTGCAGCAAGCGCTCTACACACAGAGACACTATAATAACCTTATTTGGATCATTGCACTATCCTCAGATCTTAGACTCTGTGGCACTGAGGTGTTCTGTACATGTTTGCCAAATGAATGAGCTAAATCTAACTGGCTGTATGTTCGAATATGGATTGAGTCTGTGACTCAAGGACTCATTCCTTACTGTGTTGATGCAGGGAACTGGGGGAGCCTTTAGAAGCAGGGTTTGATGTAGGGTAATTATGCTGCTACCTAATTAGAAAGGATACTTTTCATCTTCCTAGGACCCATCCCAACTAGTTTGCATGAGAAGAGAGGGGTTGTTACCTCAAAACAAGTCTGGCCCTCCCCAGTGTCTGGTTTCCTGTCTGACCATGTGAACTCACTACACATCTGCTCCCGCTGTGCTGATATTTCCAGTGTGGTGCAGACAGGAGGGTCCTCATTAAAGCTGGAGTGTGCTGTCTGTGTTTCAGTGTCCAAAACTGTGAGCGGGACAACCTTTCTTTCTCTATGGAATTCCCAGTCTCGTGTTATTCTACAGCAATGGAAGTGAAATATTACACCATAGAAACCAGAGAACATCACCAACACCTCCAGCACAACATGACTCAGATGTGATTCCAGAGCCCCTCATATATGCCAACAGGCCAAGCTATTTGAAGTCTTCCCAGACATCTTGGCTTCTTAGCTGCCCCTTGCTCTGGCCTATGCTGTTCTCTCTGCCTACATATCCTTCCAGCCTCTCTGTGGCTTATTCACCAACCTGTTCATCCCACCGAGCTTCCTTGGTGCTCTGTGAAACCCATTCCCCCAAACTTCATGCACCTTTAACTCTTATTTCTATATCGTCCCCATTCCCAAATGAGCTCCTGGAGATCAAGAAGTAAACCCATTCACATTGTGCCTTTCTGTCCCCCTGAGCCACTGACATGTGGTATGCCCTCAACAAGTGTTTGTTGAATGACTCAGAAGAACAGAGGGAAAAGGTGGCAGGTGCTTAACAAGAAAAATACAGCCAGAACCTCACAGGGTGCAGCGTGGGTGATGAGGGCTTCTAGGGCAGGGCTCACAGTGGGACTGTCCCAGGCTGTGAAAGAGGCCAGTGTGTCAGGGAACAGACAAGTGGTGCTGACACACTTGAAGCATCCTGTTGTAGAAAGAGTAGGCCACCGGGGGGCCGGGGCCAGAACAGAATAGGCCCAGTTAGGGGGAAAAAACTGAATTATATTTTGTTGGCAAGGGAACATTGGTAGAGTGTGACTTGTCGAACAGCAACAAGCGAGGCTATGCAGACGGAAAGGGGAGGAGCTGGAGTGAGGCGCTATCACAGTGGGCCAGAAGGGAATCAGAGGTGGGAGAGAATGGACACTGGAGAACAAAACCACAGAAGAAGGTGGTTTACAGCAGCAGTGGAAAGGCAGTGTGGGGAAGGAAGGTGTGCAGAGTTGGGGGGTCACAGAGCACTGAGAGCCCCGAGGGAGAAGCATGCCTATTTGGGAGCTAGGCTGGGGTGGAGACGCTAGGAGGTGCTTGGAGAACATTTATCCTTGCCCACATGTCATAATTTACATTTTGCTTAAGTGCTAATGCTTGACTGTATCAGCTGATAATAAGGGCAGGGCTGTAAGTAGCCAGCAGTCCCTGATGACCCACTGACAGTAGTCTTAGGGCTTCTAAACATTAGCTTACCACAGAGTATGCCCATCCAGACAGGCAGGCAAGTCTGTGATCTGCACCCACCACATGTTTCCCAGGAGCACTGGAGACACCTCCCAGTTACTTTTTCTGTAACATTTCTAAGTGGAAACACTCTGTAATCGTTAATTTGGGGTTTACTGAAAATATAACTTATCCCACCACTCAGACAATGCCATCTCCCTGGATAAGCCTGCTTGATTTCCTTCTCCTCGCACTGAGTGTAGATATTTTGTTTCTTAATTATAGGGCAGAAGGGAAAGCAGACCCCAGGCTGTTTGGTCATGTTGTCTTCATCCAGAGACTGCAGAAATCGTGATTCTGCAAGGAAGAGAGAACACGTTCATGTCAAAGAAAGTGTGTCAACACCAATGTCAAAGGTCACAGCAAAAATTCTGGAAACTCAGGGAAACTATCCTGTTCAAATACCCACGTCCTCTGTTGGCTGAAGGCATCAAAGGGGAAAAGACAAAAGCAAATGGTACATTTTCAAAATGCAAGGTCAGACTGAAATTTGAATGAAATATAGACATTGATGAAGGTGTGAAATCCAGATTACTGTAGACTATCGGGCAGTAGGGATGAAAAAATGATGACATTTGGGGGGCTGTTTCTGGAACTCTTACCTCCAAAATCTGCCACCACAGCATGGCCATCCTCGTAGAGAAGAATATTGTGACTGTGGGGAAAGCAGACCTTAGGTCAGCCTCAGCCTATCCCATCCAGCTGTGCCCTTGGGAAGAGGACAAAGTGGTCACCTGCTCACTGCAAGGGGCAGTGTGCTCCTCAGGCTGGCCAGAATGCCCTTGGTTTGGCTGATTCAGACAGGCATTTACAAAATGTGTTCTTGCTCTAGATTATGCTCAAAGTATAAAAAATTCCTTCTTTAATAAAAGTACTAAACTTGACAAGACTCCTTAGTTCCAGTCTAGTTCCTCAGCTCACTGCGTCCTGTTTACAAAGTCCTATAGACAGCCGGGTGTGGTGGCACACGCCTTTAATCCCAGCACTCAGGAGGGAGAGGCTGGCGGATCTCTGTGAGTTCGAAACTAGCCTGGTCTACATAGTGAGTTCCAGGACAGCTGGGGCTACAGGGAGACCCTGTCTCAAAAAAAGACCAAAAAATGAAAAGCAAAAACCAAAGTCCTATAAACAAGCCATAGGAGGCTTTGAGAGCTGCAGGACCTGGAGCTAAGAACCTGCTGGCTGGACCTCAGGCACAAGGGGCTTTTAAGGCAGGACCAGCCTTGAATACAAGTTTGGGGCTGGCAGGAAGTCTCAGGTGGTAAAGGTGCTTGCTGTCAAAGCTGACAGCCTGATTCCTAGGACCCACATGGTAAGAACTGACCTGAAAAGCTGTCCTCGGACAGCCACATGTACTCTATGACCTGTGCATGTGAGCACATGCACACATACACACATACATGGACTAAAAATAAATAAATGTAAAAATAATTCTTTTCTAAGTAAGGAAGAGTCTATATGGAAAATTTTCTGGACAGACGTTCTAGGTACCATTTCCAGATGACAGAGTATGTCCAAGGGCTATGAAATGACATTTTAAAGTTTTGAGGATGCAACATGGAAATCGCTCTTCCAACCCAGAATTTTAAAAGATTATGAAGAGCATCAGTAGATTCTAAGTGTCTTTACTGCATGAGGAGGCTGGACAGGTAACTAGCCTGGCTGTCATAATGACTCCTATATGTATAAACATGGATATCTACAAAGAATGTATGTAACAGCATCTCAGGGTACACCATAAATATGTACAATTTGGGTTTTTGTCAACTGTGTCTCCATAGAACTGGGGAAGGTGAACTATTTATGGAATAAAACAAATCTCAGACAGCCTAGGAGAGGCTGTTCCTACCACACAGTGGCCTGCATTATGGGATGCCTTATGGACAGGCCCGGAGTGCCACAGCGTGTCCATGAGCACGTCTGACTGTTGTTGTTGCTTCTTTCCTATCTGGCTTACAAATGATGCACTTCAGGTAGTCCTGGGAGGTCAGTCCTGGGAGGTCAGTCCTGGGCGGTCAGTCCTGGGAGGTCAGTCCTGGGGGGTCAGTCCTGGGCGGTCAGTCCTGGGCGGTCAGTCCTGGGAGGTCAGTCCTGGGGGGTCAGTCCTGGGGGGTCAGTCCTGGGAGGTCAGTCCTGGCAGGTCAGTCCTGGGAGGTCAGTCCTGGGGGGTCAGTCCTGGGAGGTCAGTCCTGGGAGGTCAGTCCTGGCAGGTCAGTCCTGGCAGGTCAGTCCTGGGTCCCTTTCAGTGCAGAGGCTGACTTGCATTTACTGTGCTTAAGTGTCACCTGTTCCTGTTCCTCTGCTATTTGTCTGGAAAACACTATTTTTATTTTTAGTACTCAGTAAGACCAGAGTAATAGTCTGTGATTTACATGCTTTCTGACACAGACGTCAGCTTTATGTATGTAGCCCCTCTTAGTATTTTAGAGGTACTTCCAATTAATGATCTACAACAGCAATCAAGTTCAGCACAGCCTTTTCATTAAACAGTTCCACAAATGGAGTCACTCCAGTTAGCTACAGGAAGGACAGCCAGACATCTCTGTGGCATCCCCTTTCTAACAGAGCAGCTTTGGAGGCAAAGCTGTAAAACCCAAACCACCGACAGATAATTCATTCGTTTAAACTTCTTTTAATGTAAATATTTGTTACTAAGAATAATTACACCAGCTGCCAGAGTGGCAGCAGAATGCGGCAAAATGTTTTTCTTTGAAACAAATTTAAGTAATTTTGGCCACTGGGTTGGCTAGTGAATTATTGTAGAGGTGGCAGGGGATCTGACGGTAGGAACTGGGTCTTGTTTCTTGATGTCCCCCTAACATATTTATGACATTACTTTTCATATAGAAATGCTCAATAAATGTTTATGGAACAAACACATTAAGAGGAAGTGAAAACAGAGCTTACTGCCACAGGCAGTCATCGGGGTTTGGTAGTATAAAAATTGTTTCATTGAATAATTTAGTATTTGCTAAATACCACACATCAATCTATAAATGAATATTTAAAATTCAGAACATGCTGGAGTGTGTGTTAGGACTCATCTGGCTTATCTGTCTTGGATCCTACAGAAGGGGCCAACGCCCAGCACTAGATGGCTCTTGGCTGCTGGACCTAGAGCTCATTTCCTTTAGAACCTCATCTCCGATGTCAGAGCAGTCCCTGACAAACAGTAGGTGGTCAATGGATGTGTACTTTATGAGCCGTACCTCGGTGCTTTTCCCCAAAGCATGAAATTTACTTTGCTTCTAATACCACACCACTTTGGAAGGTGCGAGGGGCACAGGCTATGGATTTCTTCTTCATGGAATTTATAATCTGCTCATGAACGCAAAGATGAATGTTTTCAAAGAAAATAGCACAGGTTAAGAAGAGATTAGCTCTGAAGGGCAGTCAGTTATTAAATCTACAGTGTGTTGAGACTTTTGTTATTGCTGGGAAATTTCTTCCATACTGGGGTCCAGTGGTGAACAGGGCAGGAGGAAGCGGGCTAACACTCTGGTGAGGAGATAAAGCAGGAGATAAAAAGGAGAGAGGAATTCTAAGGGGGGGGGATCTTGGTGATGGCAAGAGTTGCATGTGTACATAGAGGAACTATGTGAGTAGACTTACTAAATTGGAGAATAAAGGGATGTTTGAGTGGAAGCCATACTGTACTGTGTGAGGACCTGAGAGTCAGAGAATTCCACACTAGACGCAGGAGGTAAGAAAGAGCTAGTGTGCTGTTTATGTGTTGAATACGATGCTCCAAATAGGGGATTGCCACTCAAGAATGGTGTTTGGCTCTGGTTATGGAAAGATGAAACCAGAGAGGTAGAAGAAGAATCAGAAGACAGAATGAACCTATCCAAACATTGGGGAGGACTTCACTATGGGGACAGTTGGGAGACAGACCATAAAACAGATTTTAAAAAACAAACAAAACAAACCCCCCAAAAACCACAAGCCATCTTCCAATTCTAGTTCAGGCTCTTTTACTAGAAAGTGGTAATACACACATTTAGCAAGAGCTGTCTTACAGAAAGCCTGGGCATTTTAATTTTTTTCTAAAATTTTATTTATTATTTTTATTTTATGTGTATCTGTGTATTGCCTGCATGTAGGTAAGTGAGCCCATGTCGTGCAATGCCTGCGGAAGTCAAAAGAGGCTGTCGGATCCCCTGGGACTGGAGTTACGGACAGTTGTTAGCTGCCATGTGGGTGCTGGGATTCGAACTCAGGTCTTCTGCAAGAACAGTCAGTGTTCTTAACTGCTGAGCCATCTCTCTAGCCCCATAGCCTGGGCATTTTTAAGAGAGAGATTGGTTAGATTCCAGATGCAAGTTTCCCAACTGGACTAAATGTGACGTCTAGCTCTGTGAGTGCAGACTGATGAGATTAAGATATATCACATTAAAGATGTTCAAGACAATCGCTAACGTTTGACAAACAATAACAACACAATGAAGGCTCAGTGGCAGTGTAGGGTCCAGGACAATGTAAGTTCTTAGCTTTGAATGTGGCCAAATCTCCATAAAGATGCCAGGAAGATGACCGAAGGGTGAGAACACACAGGGACTGCTAGAATAAGAAAGAAATGGACACACGTTCAGCAACAATAAAACCAAGTCTCCGAATCTCCTGCAAAGTTACTTCCGTTGGAACTGAGCCGTACTTCCTGGCCAATGAGAGGAAACTGGAAGGCTTGGACTGAAGGGCCAGCTCAACTACTGGCCAGTTTCCTCTCTATTATGAGAGTTAAATTCTGTGCTGGGCACTGTAGTGTCTAAGAATAAAGGGTAAGTAAGAACGAAGATAGTTCACCATGATTTTCCCTTTGAGAGACAAGAATATGGCACGTAAGAATTAATTATGAAAAAGGTCACAAAGCAAGGAGAAGATATGATTTAAAGAAAAAAGAGGGACAGAGGGCAAGATGGACTGAAACCTAGAGTCAGAGGACAGGACTAAGTACTCACGGTCAAGTACGTTAAAAGCCCTGTGATTTTGGACAAATTATGCAACTTTAACTTTCTGAGACTTCTTTTTCATCTTAAATAATTGTGAAATTATTCCACTTACAGAGACACATTCAAAAAAATAAAATAAGAGGAAGGAAGGAAATTGAGCAATAACAGGGATTTATAAATATTCAACTGTGTCCTAGTTTGTTTCTCCATTGCTGTGACAAGACACTGTGACCACCACCAACTTGGGGAGGAAAGGGTTTATTTGTCTTACATCTCCCAGGTCACAGTTCATCAGGGAGCCCACAGTAGGAACTCAGGGCAGGAACCTGGAGGCAGGAGCTGGAGCACAGGCCATGGAGGAATGCTGCTTACTGGCTTGCTCCCCTGGCTCCTGCTCAACCTGCTTTCTTATGCAACACAGGCCCACCTGCCCAGGGATGGCACCACCCACAGTGGGCTGGGCCCTCTTACATCACACAACAATCAAGTAGATGTCCCTCAGACATGGCCACAGGCCAGTCCAATAGAGGCAATTCCCCAACTGAGGCTCCCTCAACCCAGGTGTGTCAAGTTGACACTAAAGCTGTCCAGCACAAACTGCTATGTGGGATTGGTTAATAAGACCTGGCTTGTGGAAGATTCCTACAACTGAAATACAAGGTACTTCGTTGAACATAAAGCTGTTTATGTGTTCATAAGTGATGCT